ACATTAAATGTCTGTTTAATAAAAGTCCCCAGCTCCTGAAATAGCAGATGTTCTGTACGGTGCTGAACAGCAGCTGCTCTGTCAGCAGGACCAAACATTTTATGAAGCAGCTTTTCTGAAAACTGAGTTTTTTAACTCTGAAATGAGGAACTCTGAGTTTTCCGTTTCACAAAAAGAAGTTTCTCCACATCTGTGTCTGTTGCCATAGCAACAGTCTCTGCAGAACTAACCAAGTCTGAGCAGGTTTTTCTTACTCAGCCACATGACAACAGGGTCTCCATAAAAAAGTCAACATGACCAATTTTGTATAATGTATGTACATGTGTTTTTGATTAGATTTTTTAAATATAGAAGTAGATAATTTTAATCTGTAAATGTCTGTACATCTGTAAATGTATTTCTGTTTTTGATTTGAAACCGTCAGGACGTTTATCATAGAATCATTTGGTTCTCACTGCAGCAGGTCTGTTTGTGAGCCTCTCAGTGACACGCTGACACCATCTTGAATCTGTCAAAGCCAGAACGGGTTAACCCTTTAAAGCCTGATCCAAGAAAAATAGGAAGAATATTGGCTTTTTTTTAGTCTGAAGTCTTTCTTTGGCCCCTCAACGACATATGAAGAAAAAAAAACAGAAATTATTTTGATCACATTAGCGTGCAATAAGTCAAAAATATATTTTTGTGTAGTCTTCTACCTGCTGTAATCAGGTATTTCTGAATGTGTGCAACAGGGGTTTGAGCAAAGCTTTTACCATTGAATGATGCAATAAATCTCAGATCCAAAAGACTTCAGAAACCGTATGTATAAAAAATGATACATTTGGCATTATAGGGTTAATTTACCTTTTGGCCTGCTTCCATTAGTTAACAAAATTGGTCATGTAGAAGAAAATGTGACATTTGGTCCATATGCAGTTGTTCAAATAAGATTCACATCACACATTTACTCCTAATGTGCTTACTGCTCTTTGTTTGACCAAGCTAAAGAAAGCAAGTGTACTAGTTTTAAGGTACAGCTCTCAGAGCTTATCATATCTTACAATATGTGGACTGTGACTGTAGGGACATCTAATTCTGGTAGTGAAAGAAAGCCCAGAGTTTGGGCTCTGCTGACTCTATTCTGAGGTCAGAACCCCCCCATCATCCAGTAACCAGCTCAGAACACTGGTTCCCTTTGTTTCCCCACAGGAAGTGTGGCTGTCTACTAGATATTGTCAAGTGTACCTGCATATGTTTCCCAATTAAAGTAGAATTAAAACAGGACACTATCTGTCCACATAGAAATCTCTGCTTCTCAAGATAACAGGTTTGTTAGTTTGTTATATTTCATTTCATATGAGTCTGGTAAGCTGGAAGATTCTTTATAAAACACAGAAACGTTTCTCTTCAGTTAAATGGAATGTTTTCAGGTTAGTATGATAAAATCTCATGTTTGGCGTAACTTCTTGTCAAGATCAGAATTTTCCACTTGTTAGCTTGCGTGACTTGTGTTCATAATCTGTTCCTGAGTTTGACATACTTTGAATTCAGTCGTTGGCAGCTTACCAAAGGTTGTTTGGCTAGAAAACCACTGGATTGCATGGAATCTTATCTTGGGTTTGGTCTCAGTATCTGAGCATGTGCAGGGTGACTCTGTAGAGGCTCGGCTCCCTTTAACAGGAAGGAAACCCAAAATCAGACACAGGAATGATGTCCATCCGCCCCAACCGGTTGGTGCCTGTTCTGAGCCTTGTGTGCATCACGTACTCTATGTGGCCAGTGAACAGGCTGTCATTTAAAAACTACGATTAGGCCCAGAAGCTGGCCATGTTTTGGGCCCATTTTTGGCCTTCCCATTAAATCCCTATGGGACGGCATTTCGCCTTTTTCGCCGTTTATTCGAAAACACCGGGACTAATAGGAATGTTGTATACAAGCACGCATCCCATGGTTGGTTTGGATGCACGTGCAAATTTTGGGCCCAATCCGTCAAACTGTGCAGGACTAGTTACACGCTGAAAATCGGGCAGAAACGGAGGAAGAACAAGCTGCGGAATAAACATGCACAACAGTAAGACTACACAACACCTGTGTAATGAGAAGTCAAAATAACCTTAAAACATATCCAACCTTATCCACTGAAGATTGTCAGGTGTAGATCATTGAGGGGGGCCGTGTTACAGGCGCGTGCACGTGCTCCAGTAGGTTGAAAGGACCTTCAGGGTCCCACAGAAACAGCCTTCCTGTGCTCTGTGTCACTGACTGACATGATGCCTCAGAATGGCTCTGCCTGCCCACTCTTGTAGGCTAAGCTGGAGCACTCCAAGCCCCAGAATGCTTTGCTGATACACAGCCCTCTGTATTCCTCCAGTCAGGGTGACTGTGAAGGCGCACTAAGCACACGATATCTCCCACACATCTGAGTGCACAGCTGGAACTAGAAAATTTCTGAAGAAATTTTGAGGGGGGCCACCTACTGCCCGTCCAGGAACCCGGGGCTGGCTTCCCGAGGCCCTCAAAAGGGGCCCGGCAGGTCGGCCAATTGATATTTGGGCTCTCTGTAATATGGACATGCGCCTATGAGAGGGCCTGAGGGAGAGACGCAGTGATGGAGGGACCCGGCTGAGCTCTGGGGCCCGCTGACCGAATGCGGATGGGGTGGGCAGGTCGGGGGTCACGTTAGCTGAAAGCTGAGAAAAAGACCTACGCAACGAGGTATGATATGGCCCCGGTCTGGTTCCGACCCAGTTAGATCCGATACCCAGAACCAGAACCAGAACCGGGCTCTGACTAAAGCCCTCTAAGCGGGCTTCGGAACAGAAATAATGTATTTCTTAAAAAATCACTGAGAGCGGGCTTCGCCCGCATTTTACCAGAACAAATGAATTATTTAAATCTTTCTAAGCGGGCTTCGCCCGCCTGGAACACTGTATTATCATCTCCACAGATCAGCAGAGAGGGCCCAAAATTATAAACTACCACACCTGTGACTCATCACTGAGCCGCAGCTCTGATACAGACAACTGTCAGATTGGATCTAAAGTTGCCTCAGAACTCCTGCCCGCTGTTCGAAAACTATTTCACAAAACTGGAAAATTCTTGGACCGTGAGCGCCTACAGAGTTTAAGGTCGAATCCAGTGTATTTTATTTTCGGCTGCTCCCAGCGGTTATTTTTTTATGGCAATTTCAAAATGAGGGTCGTTTTGTCTCTGGTGAAAAAAATCTCTCCTTTCTTCCATTCAAATCCTATTAGAGAGGGTCGGGAAAGTCTGGACTCTGGGCCCGATTGCCGGAAAACCGTAAGGCCGAGGTCGAAAGCGGGCACATCGGGCGAAAGAGGACGGCCGTGGCTACGTTTTGAGGCCATTTTGGCACCGCTCGGCCCCACGGTTTGGTCGCGAGAGGCCAGAGTTTGACTTTTTTTCTGTGAATGCCCCCACAGGGCACTCAGAGGCTTTAACGAGCATAGCTAGAGTGTGGGGAAAATTCTCTGACCTCCTAAATTTCACTAAAACGTCAACAGCAATTGCGGGCAAACTGTGCGAGATCTGGCCTCGTGGCTCCGATATGGCGGAGGCCCGTCTTTCGTGACCGGTTCAATCTTCAAACGAGGTCTCTCAGACGTCGTGGGGCAGAGCCCTGACGGGCCCCATATCTCGGACCGTTTCCCATTCATTTCCTATGTGGCGGCGTTTTTTGGTGTTTATTAGAAAACAACAGGTACTTTGAGAAAGTTTTGAACAAGCACACATTCCCATGTTTTGGCCCGATCTGCGGAAGTGTTTGTGACAAGTTACGCGCCGAAATTCGGGCGGAAACAGGAGAACGATAATAAGTCGCGGAATAAATATGACGAAGAGTAATAGGTGGGCCTTGCCGCTGGCAGTGGCCCCCCTAATTGATAAATAATAAATAATCTGGGGCCACTGATGAGGCCATCTGCAGGTGAACGGTTTAACATGAACCGGACATTGTTTGGTTTATTTTGACACTTTGCTGTCTGTTTTCTAAGTAACTTTTCAGCCAAGCGTGACCTGTCCCGCTAGATCCACTGTGCTCCATGTTTTCCGTTAAATTCTCATCAGAAGTATCACATTTTTTGCTTGACTCTATGAAAATACATGGTCAGCACTGCAAATGCAGTTCTGCTCTTTCTAAATCCATATTGTTGCTCATTTAAGATATTATACTTTTCAATAAATCTATCTGTTTCATAAACTTTAGTAAAAGTTTTGAAAACTGTATCAATAAAGCTACAGGCCTTTAATTATCCTGCTGGTTCCTGCTGGGTCTAACCGGGCCCTGGTGGGTCAGGCTGGTCTGACTTTGTTTTAGGACTCCTTGAAGCCTCCATGGACCAGACTCCTCTGCTCCAGGACCAGGACCAGGAGGCCCCACTGGTCCAGGACCAGGACCAGGAGGGCCGCTGGAGGAAGGGGAGGTGAGCCCGAACCGCCGCCCACATCTGTTTTCAGATCTGACCCGGTTCTTCGTGCTGTTTCAGGGCCCAGCAATCCGGACCAGGACCAGGACCAGGACCAGGGCCAGGACCCGGCAGTCCGTCCAGCAGCCCTCTCTGGTGGTGCTCCTGCTGGTAAGTCTGCAGGTTTTATTTGTTTCTCTTCTCTGAGCCCCTGAAAACGTCCTGTTTCCCTTTCTGCCAGCTGCAAGAGACCCGAATCCCCAGAACCAGAACCCTCATCAGAACTAGAACCAGAACCCTCATCAGAACTAGAACCAGAACCCTCGTCACAACCAGAACCAGGACCCTCATCAGACCCCTCATCAGAACCAGAACCAGGACCCTCATCAGAACCAGAACCCTCATCAGAACCAGAACCAGGGCCCTCATCAGAACCAGAACCAGGGCCCTCATCAGAACCAGAACCCTCATCAGAACCAGAACCCTCATCAGAACCAGAACCGGGGCCCTCATCAGAACCAAAACCCTCATCAGAACCGGGGCCCTCCTCACAGTGAGTAGTCCAGAACCTCTGAATGTTCTGTTGGACACAGTCTGATGTGGACACAGTCTGACGGACGTGTCTCCAGCAGCTGGACGCCCCGTGGAACCGAGGACTCGGCCCGGCTCAGCCAGAGCATCCTCCAGCTGGGGGACGACCACAGGGTGAGTTCATAACCACACACCGGCCTGGGTTCTGACCTGGTTCTGACCCGCTGACGTGGTTCTGACCCCCTCTGACCTGGTTCTGGTTCTGACCCGCTGACGTGTTGCTGACCAGGTTCTGGTAGCAGCAGGCTACCCACAGGCTAGCTGCTGTTGGCAGCAGGTTAGCCGGTTCTGACCCCCTCTGACCCGGTTCTGACCCGCTGACATAGTTCTGACCAGGTTCTGGTAGCAGCAGGCTACCCACAGGCTAGCTGCCGTTAGCAGCAGGTTAGCCGGTTCTGACCCGGTTCTGATCTGGTTCTGACCCGCTGTCTCTCAGGACTTGAAGTTCTGGCTGCTGGGGGCCCTGGAGGACCTGGACAGCCGGGAGCTGAAGCTCTTCCACTGGCTCCTTCAGACCGCCAACGAGTCGAGGGACGGCTTCCAGCCAATCAGGAAGAGCCGCCTGGAGCACGCCGACCGGCTGGACACGGTGGACCTGATGGTGCAGGCCTACGCGGCCGGCGCCGGAGAGGTGGCCCGGAGTCTGCTGCAGCAGGTGGAGCGCCGCACAGGTCTGGGCTCGGGTCTGGAGCCGCCGCAGGACGCTGTTTTCACAGGAAGGGCGCCAGATGGCGAGCTGCAGCAGGAGGTTCCTACCCCGGCGGCGGCAGGTCAGAGTGCAGACTCCCAACGCTCACCGACTTGCAGGCTAGCTACAGGCTAGCTACAGGCTATTAGCAGGCTATCAGCAGGCTAGCCGCAGGTTAGCAGCAGGCAAGCTGCAGGTTAGCAGCAGGATAGCAGCAGGTTAGCAGCAGGCTAGCTGCAGGTTAGCAGCAGGTTAGCAGCAGGTTAGCAGCAGGCTAGCTGCTGTTAGCTGCAGGTTAGCTTAAGATTAGCAGCTGGTTAGCTGCTGTTAGCTGCTGCTAGCAGCAGGTTAGCTGCAGGTAAGCATCAGGCTAGCTGCTGTTAGCTGCAGTCTAGCCGCAGGTTAGTTGCAGGTTAGCTGCAGGTTAGCCGCAGATCATCTGCTGTTAGCTGCTGGCTAGCTGTAGGTTGTCAGCAGGTTAGCTGCTGAGGAGTCAAAGGCCTCCTTCGAGCTAAACACAGCCACCAACCCTCTGAGCGCACATTTCCCTGTGAGACGTTTGGTTCCCCCTGCAGATGAGAAACACGTCAGGATCCTGAGCGACTTCGTCAGGAAGGTGACCGAAGAAAAGCTGAGGCAGCTGCTGGAGGCGCTGGTGAGCGAGGGCGTCCTGGACGACTCGGACAGGAAGTGTGTCCTGGAGCAGAACCACACCAGAGCCAACCAGGCCAGCAGCGTTGCGGACATGGTGAGGGACCGAGGAGCCTGTGAGACCATGGTCAGCCATCTCCAGAGCATGAGTCCGGCTTGGACCTCTGGCCGGGACCCCCCCCCCCACCCGTCTGCTGAGGCCGGTGAGTTTCTCTCTGGGAGACTCCTTCATTTCTACCTCAGAAATAAAAGCTTCTGCTGTTAGATTGTCTTTATGTTCCTGCATTTAGAGGCTTTTCTCCAACGCCACTCACAAAGCAGACACAGTGTTCCAGTTCTCATCAGTCTGACAATCAGCTCTCTAGGGGAAAATCCCCAGTAGCCGGGGGCAACCAGGGGTAACCGGGGGTAACCACGGGCAACCAGGCGTAACCAGGGGTAACCGGGGGTCAGCCAGGGGTAACCGGGAGTAAGCAGGGGTAACCAGGTGTAACCAGGGGTAACCAGGGGTTGCCAGGGGTAACTGGGGGTCACCAGTAAAGCTCAGTGAACTGAGGGCTGATGGGAAACTTTTTGGGCTGATTGAAGACCAAACGTCGCATTCTGCATCATCTGTTACGGTTTTACTGTATTGTGGCATCAGAAAGCTTTTAACTCATGACCTTTGGTCCTTTTGCTCACTCTGAGATAAATATTGACTAAATTACTGCTCTCCAGTGACGGAGATCCAACGGTTAGTTAGACTCGGCCTGAAGAAGAAGGTCCAGTGTGTGTTTGAGGGCATCGCCAACCCTCCCGACCAGATCTACACAGAGCTCTACATCACCGAGGGGGGGGCTACAGCGATCAACCAGGAACACGAGGTCAGACAGATTGAAGCAGCTTCCAGGAGACCACACAGACCAGAAACAGCCATCAGACAGGAAGACATCTTCAAAGGCCCACCTGGAACACAGCAGCCAATCAGAGTAGTGCTGACGATGGGGGTGGCCGGCATCGGGAAAACAGTCCTGACCCAGAAGTTCACTCTGGACTGGGCCGAAGGCAGAGCCAACCAGGACATCGAGTTCCTGTTTCCCTTCATGTGCTGGGTTTGTCTGTTGAAGAATGGAGAACTGTGACATGGTAGGGGGCAGCTGGGAGCTGATTGGCTCTGCTCTGGAGGAAAACCCCTCCCACCTGAGAAAGCTGAGCCTCAACAGATCAGAGTTTGATGTGAAGCCATTAGCTGGTTTTCTGAAGAATCCCCAATGTAAGCTGGAGACTCTGAGGTCAGAGATTGAGGGAGGGATGGATGCTGGATGGATGGATGATGGATGGATGGATGGATGGATGGATGGATGATGGGCGGATGGATGGACGGATGGATGATGGCTGCGCGATGGATGGATGATGGATGGATGATGGATGGACGGATGATGGATGGATGGATGGATGGATGGATGATGGATGGATGGATGGATGATGGATTGAGGAATGGATGGAGGATTGGATGGATGGATGGATGCTGGATGGATGAATGGATGGATGGATGGATGGATGGATGGATGGATGGATGGATGGATGGATGATGGATGGATGGATGGATGGATGGATGATGGATGGATAGATGGATGGAGGAATGGATGGATAGATGGATCGATAGATGGATGGATGGATAGATGGATAGATGGATGGATGGATGGATGGATAGATGGATGATGGATGGATGGATAGATGGATTGATGATGGATGGATGGATGATGGATGGATGGATGATGGATGGATGGATGGATGATGGAGTGATGATTGATAGATGGATGGATGGATGGATGGATGATGGGTGGATGGATGATGGATTGATGATGGATGGATGGATGGATGGATGATGGGTGGATGGATGATGGATTGATGATGGATGGATGGATGGATGATGGAATGCTGCTGGAAGATGGATGGATGATGGATGCTGGATGGATGGATGGAGGATGATGGATGGATGGATGGATAGATGCTGGATGGATGGATGGATAGATGCCCAGGGGCCTCTGCTCACCTCTGGGGACGGGTTCAGTTCTGACAGACAGCCGGTCCAGATGGACCACATGCTACAGAGAGCCGGTTCTTTTGGACCTAATGCATCCATTAGGTCAACTCGCACAAAGTTTGAGTCAAACGTGATTCCTGGAGAGCAAACTGGAGGCTCATAGGAGCAGTATGGGGATGATGCCTGACAGCGTTAGGAGGATGGGGAACACCTTGGAGAAGTTGGTGGTCCGGATGGAGGGAAGTATGGGATGCATCCATCCATCCATCCATCCATTGTCCACCGCTTATCCGGGGTCGGGTCGCGGGGGCAGCAGCCGGAGCAGGGAAATCCAGACTTCCCTCTCCCCGGCCACTTCAGCCAGCTCCTCCGGGGGGATCCCGAGGCGTTCCCAGGCCAGCCGGGACACATAGTCCCTCCAGCGGGTCCTGGGTCTTCCTCTGGGCCTTCTCCCGGTGGGACGAGCCCGGAACACCTCCCCAGGGAGGCGACCAGGAGGCATCCTGAACAGATGCCCGAGCCACCTCAACTGGCTCCTCTCCACGTGGAGGAGCAGCGGCTCTACTCTGAGCCCCTCCCGGATGGCCGAGCTTCTCACCCTATCTCTAAGGGAGAGCCCAGCCACCCTGCGGAGGAAACTCATTTCGGCCGCTTGTATCCGCGATCTCGTTCTTTCAGTCACTACCCAAAGTTCGTGACCATAGACGAGGGTGGGAACGTAGATCGACCGATAAATTGAGAGCTTCGCCTTTAGGCTCAGCTCTCTCTTCATCACGACAGACCGGTACAGCGCCCGCATTACTGCAGACGCCGCACCGATCCGCCTATCGATCTCACGCTCCCTACCCCCGTTCGCGAACAAGACCCCGAGATACTTGAACTCCTCCACTTGGGGAAGGACGTCCGCTCCGACTCGGAGGAGGCACTCTACCCTTTTCCGGTGAGAGACCATGGTCTCGGACTTGGAGGCACTGATCCTCATCCCAGCCGCTTCGCACTCGGCTCTGAACCGCTCCAGTGAGAGCTGTAGGTCCTGACTTGATGAAGCCAACAGGACCACATCATCTGCAAAAAGCAGAGATGCGAACCTAAGGCCACCAAGACTGACACCCTCAACACCTCGGCTGCGCCTAGAAATCCTGTCCATAAAAGTTATGAACAGGACCGGAG